GCCAGAACCAGGAGACAGGAACCCCCTCTGGTTCCAGGGCCAGAACCAGGAGACAGGAACCCCCTCTGGATCCAGGTCCAGAACCATGAGACAGGAACCCCCTCTGGATCCAGCTACCCTCCTCCATCCCAGCGGGACACATGAGCTCTTCAGGGGTGGAAATGTTCCCTGGAAGCTGCAGGCAGGAATCCTCCTCAGATGGTGTCTAAGTGATTCTGACAGACATGCAGACCTCCGTCAGGCTGCAGCCGACTGACCCACTTTCTGCGGGACACAACGAGCTGCTGGCTGTCTGCACGGAGACCATCCACCCACAGACACGCGCACGGCTTCATTCGACCCAAACAGCGCTTCCTTACCTGGACCGAGCCCAGCAGGAGGGTGAGGAGCAGCGGGGAGGGCATGCTGGCTGCCGGGCTGTGAGCGGCTCTCACCCCGGCCTGCAGCCTCTCGGTCTGCTGCGCATCCAAACAATGGCGCTGTTTCTGCCGCAGCGGCCCACGCTCCGCTGCGCTCTGTTCGCACTCACTCTGCGGCAGATCGGCTGCCGCGCACCTCTACCTGCGCAGCTTCACCCGGACCGGACCTGCTGGGAGAGAGGGGGAGCGGGCCGGGCTCCGGGATCCATCCCGCGGCCTGGAGACGAGCAGGAGGTCGGTGTTGGTCTGCGGGGATGAAGCTGCTGCTGCGCGGCGTCGCCCCGCCCTGCGCTCCGGAGGCTGCACAGACACGCAGGTCCTCCTCCTCCTCCTCCTCCTCCTCCTCTTCATCAGCAGTCAAACACTAACAATAAAACAGGGGCGCCCCCAGGAATTTGGGGCCCCATGAACGACATTCATATGGGCCCCCACCCACCATATGATAAATTTACACATTATTGTAAAATTTCTACTAAGAAAAATTATCAGAACATGAAAAAGTGAAATATACATTAACGTTAAAGTGCATAAACATGTGGATAAGAACTTGGTCAGTTTATCTACCCTTTGTTTCACTGTTTACTGCTGAAAAATAAGGGAGAACACAAATATTATTCATTTTACTGCTGGATTTTATTTTTATATCTGAAATATCTATTGGAATGTATCTTTTCTTCTTCTTTTGGGGCCCACCTCAATCAAGGGCCCTTAGAATCTTTCTAACTTTTCTCCCCTTTGTTCAAATTCAAATCATTGTTAATCAAACATTTGATTCGGAACCGCCTCTCTTTTAAACCCAAATCCAGCAGATCAGACCCTAAAATGTTTACTATTAATTATCTGAATTTATTGGTTTTAAAGTAAACTGAAGGGTTCATTAAAGATTAAGGACATAAACAGACATGTGTTGTTATTGTTTTGACCCATTTCTCCTAACAGAAAACTAACCAAACCTCTCAAGCCCCGCCCACTTTACTGAGTTCACTTTTGTGATCTCCATTCCAGAACCTGGAACTGTCCAAACAGGCGCGGTGTTGACGGTCGCTGTCCAGATGGTAACAGAGCTTTAGAGGAAAAGTCCGGTCTTATTCAGAATACAAACTTTTGAAATTACTTTAAATATGAAAATATTACAAACTGTTTAATGAATGTGTTTTTAATTAAGAGTAATTTTCATTTTAATGTGCTTCACTGGAGGCATCCAGTGCGCCAGTGCCATTTTTTGGCCCCGATACCTGGCTGTTCAGTATTGGCTGATACCATCTGTTTGAAATTGATGTGTGTGTGTTTATATGAAGATCTGCTTACTGCTTGGATGTAAAATAATTGGCATCATGGCTTTGGAGAGGGAGGATTTGCTATCAAACTTCTGGCCAGAGAAAAAACATGTAATATGGTGACAATAGTTGAATAAACCTTTGGCTCTCAAAATGATGTCAGTGCCCTATTTGTTGATTGCAGATGTGTCTAGTAGTTCCCATTGATTTTGCTTGTAAAGCGGGGAGAATGGCGCTAGGCTTACCGCACCGTGACGTCACTGCTGGAAGATGGCAGGAGTGAGGTGTTTTTGGGCAAAAATGGCCGCTCCCACACTCATTGATCGCAACGAAAAATATTGTTTTCAATTATATTGATTAGCACTAAATTCATTAAATCGCTGCAAACGTATTCGTTTTAGGTATAAATAATGATCCATTGATTATTCCTTGCTGACCGGACTTTTCCTGCTGCTAGTTTGCTGCTTCAAGATTTCCACTTATTGTCCTTTATTCTGTGAACCAGTCTCTCCAGCAGCAAAGCATCCCTCAGCATGGGGGAGGCTGCATCATGCTGAGGGATCCCTCATGATTGTCCTCATTGACAATCCTCTTTTCTTCTTCTGGTTTTTTTATGTCGCTATATTTAGGGACTTTTCAGACCCTTCTAGCACTTTTATTTCAAAAAAGCTCCTAGCGCCAAATCTAGCGACTATTTTCTGCTACTGGAGACTTTGGCGACAGCGTATAAAAGCAGCGAATTCTGCTCTCCAGAGCGAGTAGATTGGTAACCCCGCCTCCTGCTCTCCTCTATCTTGTCTGCTGTCATGATTCATGCAGCTA